TGGTGTTAAAGGGAAACCAAGAAGAAAACCACCATATACTGTATATATAACCAAGGGCACTTTTTTTGCGACTCTCTGCAAAAATCCGTGCATTTCCTTGAAATCCATACATTTGAGCAAAAACTGTACTTTTCTTGCAGGCTCAACATAAGACACAGGAGCATTTTGCTACCTTTTTTCTACAAAAATCTCACTTTCAGCGGCCATGGCACTGGAGATTGTCATGCTCATACCATTTGAAGGTGTGCAATTCACCAAGGACAAAAGGTGCCCATTTCCTCAAGAAAATGTTCCGCTGATTTCCGTGCATTTTCCGCAGATTTCCGTACTTTTCCCGCCGATTTCCGTGCATTTCCCGCCGATTTCCGTGCATTTGCGGTTTCTGCATTTTGGCTGAGAAAACTGCAAAGTCGCAAAAGCGGCAAGGAAGCTGTCACACATTGCCCCACAGCAATTGGAGACGAAAGACCTGAAACGGAATTAAGTATGACGGGCCGTGTAAATTGCAAACTGTGCTCATGTGCATCCAAGTGCACCACAAACGCTCACAGCCTGCTAAAAGCGATTTCCGTCAAATTTCCTCAAAAGTGTACATTGACACTTTTTTTCTGCATGTACGGAAATTTCAGTACTTTTGGAGGGTTCCGGTATGTATATATATATATATATATATATTTGGGGGTCCGCCAAAAAAAGACATGACTGTGGGTCAAAACCAATGTACCATTTTTGGGGTAGGTGAATTCACCACCCATTTTAGAACCTTATTTTAGTGGTTGGATTGGGATGTTCACTGGGGGCTAACCGATTTGGGTTTTGAAAAGCCTATGGCCACACCTTCCCCAATGGGAACACAAGGGGCCGGGACCCAAGTGTGCATCAGGCTGAGCAGCTGATGAGCGCCTACCACAGCTGGGGCCGGGCCCATGGATCGGATCATAACGCTAAGAGGGTTCCATGTTACAACCATCAGTTTAAAAGCGACCGTTGAAGCTTTTGGCGTTCTCTTGGTTCATTTTTGGAGGCCCCAAAAGGTGATCACCTTTTTTCTAGGTCCAAACTGGACAGGTGAGAACCAGCAATGTTCATCGTTGTCTAGGGCGACAAAGAGGTTTGGATGTGGCCACGGAAGTGCAGTTCTTGTTCAAGGTTTTCCAGGGTTTCAGACATGGCATCCTGAGTCGCAACCCTGCTCTTCACATCAAGGGCCCCTTCGGGCTTGTGGAAAACCTGGGGCTCCGAAGCCGTACACGAGCTGCGCTAAGAAGAGGGGTGTCAAAAGGATATCAGGACGTTTTAGGGATGTTTGGATTTGTGCATGTTTCTCTCCTGTCTCATGGGCATGGGCAGCTTTGCGGGTTGGCAGGCCCTTTGCCCAGTGGTCCTTGTTATGGCGGGTGTCCAATACACTCTCCCGCAAGAAACATGGGCGAGGGTGTCCCTTTCACCTCAACCAACAAGTTTTGGCAGAGAGTTCCCATTAAAACCACACAAATTGGAGGGGTTGGTTCCACTAACACTCAACCAAAACAAGGTGGCCCTTGGTTCCAGAAAGGCAGAACTCTTCCCACTTCCAACACCCCAGTCACAGCCCAAAAACGGTCGGGCCGGGGGGGTGGTATGTGCAATTGTCTAAAGGGTAGACTGGAGACATCTTTATGGCTGGGTTGGATCTTTGGACTTCAACATTTTGCAATGAACCCACAAAAAGACACTTTTTGCAGAGAGGTCGTTGCAGCAACCAAGATCTCGGCAATTTATGGTGACTGGCGTTGTTTTTTCTCCGAGCATTGGCAGTTGGCAGCCCACTCCAGGTCTCCCCTGGACGGGCATGGTTTCGGAGTGGGCGCCGCACTCAGATTCTTCAGAGAGCCTCACGCGAAGCCAGCCAGCAAAATTCAGCGAAATGGGTGTGTCTATTAGCGTAGAGTTGGCAAATCTAGCTTCTAGAGCACACGTCGGCACCGGGGTCCAAACAACAGCTACAGAATACACATAGATAGACTTGCATGGATGTAGACGAATGAATCGCGTCCAAAACTAGTTGCTCAGATCCCTCTTGGGCTCAAAGGGCAAACCGTCATTCGTAGTGGCCCTTTCGTTGTGGAGTCAAGGTTCCCTTTTCGTGCAGCCCATGGAACTGCGCTGGGCTGGGATCCGCTAGGAAGGCCGCCTTTTGGGGGATCGTCCCCGAGCCTCCAAGCGGGGAGTTCAGTTAACGCTAAGGCGTCAGCACGTGTTGTTTGGACCGCATGAACATACATTGAACCACTCCTCAGTTGAAGTTCCTGGGGCTCCGGGGAAGGTTTGAGTCTGGTCCTACTTAATGCTAGGGTTTGGCGGAGAGTTTGACCCTGGAGATGACTAGCATCCCTCTCCCCCTCCCCCTTGGGGATTTCGAGGGATTGCCAGAACTTGCTTCTTGGAACCAGTTTAGTGGCAAACAACTCGTTTGGTTGTACTGCTTGGCCAATGCAGGAGCGAGACCATTTGGTCTTTGTGTCAGGGATTCAGTGCCCTTGGCATGTTGTTTTGTGTTATTATTCTTCGCTGTGTCTATGCATTCTTTTTCTTTTTGTAGTTTGTTGGTTCTGTTCATAGTTAGTTTGTGGGGGGCAAAGTGAAAGCGGGGGGCGCAACAAGCACCGTTTTGGCTACCATACCAAGGCGTGAGAAGTATTGGTTCTCTTCATGTGTTAGCGGGGTTGCAAGGGCAACTTCATGGATGACACCCAATGAATACTGGGACTAGCCACCAACGAACTGGCGCAGGATTCTGTCTATCCACCTGACTATTTTGCATGGCAATTAAGGTAAACAACATATGGCCATGGGGGCAAAACCTATGGCTCCATGTTGGGGTGGATGAACACCCATGTGCCACCTGTTTTGATGTTCACCAGGGGTACAGGGTTTTGACCCACAGCCATATGAACCAGAATCAGAAAACATGCTATTTTCTGTTTACCGATGGCCAGCCACTGCTTGATTCGAAACGTTCAGGAGTGGCATCTCATCGTGCGGCGCTTGTTGCTGGTGGACGAGGCGCCGATACAACCTTTGTTGGCTCCACTGGTCCCCGAATCTTCGTGGGGAATTGGCTGTTCGATTTGGCCAAGTTGGTAAGTTGTTGGCAATCTGGAATCCGGGTTACAACTCACTCATAAGTACTCCTAAGTGAGGTTAACCTTGCTATTTGGGGGATTCGACCCCAAGTGGCTAACCACGGCACCACCTTGGCCCAACGTCCAAGTGAACCCTTTGGTCAGAGAACCCCTTGGTGGGTTGGATTGGGGGGAGTTGACGCCCTGGCTTCGGAGGGGAACGGGAAGCCCAAGCTTCACGAGCCATCGGGCAAGCCATCCTTTTGGAGGGAAGCTGGATTTGGGTTTGGGTTGAAGTGGAACCAACCAGCAGAGAACCATGACCATGACCAAGACAATGATTCACATACCAAATCTTCAAGGCGCACTGTATTTTTTGTATATAAGTCTATCTCAACACACAACCATAGCCAAATGTGTGGGGCATCCCACGAGTTCCTTCACTGGCCGATGACAGTCAGGGGCGCTTTCTCCACAGCCAGCTGAGTGCTTGTGGATTCTGGAAGCCAACCCAAATTTCAGTCTTAGACTCGTCTTTGGCCCACGAAAAGGCAGCTTGGGTTGTTGGGTTCCTGGAGCAAATTGGAACCAAACTAAAATATGGTTACAAATATATGTTCCAATTCGATTTTTTGTGCTTGCTTTCTCCCACGTTGACACAATGCTACCTTTTGGCAGTATCTTTTTTCACGGTGCCCCAAAAAGGGTTGGTTGAAAAAGGAAGCCACAAAAACACCCAAAGTGGGGGTCCCGTGAAAAAACAAGGGGATGGATGAAAACCTGCCCGTTTGTCGGCTGTTCTCCCGAAGAGGGGTGGGTCCTTGTGCGCACGCTCTGTACACCTTGGGCGAGGCTGATGGGCCTGTCTTTCTACAGCCTTCTGTTCCACCTTTTGATTGCAAGCCAGCATCATTGCGATGTGGGAGAGACTCTCTAACGGAGCTACTTGTTCAGGTGATTTAAAGGAAGCACTTTTTAGGGTACCCCCAATTTTGACACATCCGTCCACCCACCCACTCATCCATCCCTCCATCCCTCCATCCCTCCATCCCTCCATCCCTCCATCCATCATTTCGACGTGGCAGTTTTCAGCACATCTGTTCTTCTGGAAGTTCCCTATTTGAGGCGTCCCATTTCGAGTCACTCGCTGGATATCCATCGTCTGAGGAGGAGCTGGACGATAGCGCGCTGCACGCGGCGTGGACGTCCCTGGACCTCACAGACAACGTCGCCTGGGGCCTCGGACTGTTTGGAGGTGGCGTTTGAGAAGGTGGAGTTGGCTTGGGAGGGGAATTATACTCCCTGGAAATGACATGACTTGCACCGGTGGCCGGATCCTAGGTCATGTATAAAGGAAAAGCACTGCAGGGTTTTAAAGGATTAAAGGGAAACGAGCAAGTTTTGACCGGGAAATTCGTCAGGATTTGCTTGCAAAGGGAATGTCACAGGGCCCACAATTAGATTCGCCGACTCCTATTTGGGCAACCCCGTTGGCTCCGAACGGCTGCGCCTTTGCACCGGCTCTTTGTTGGGAGCATGGAAGTTGAATCCCGCCATGCAAACGAACACTATGAAAAGTGCTGCTCCAATCGGAGCTGCAGCTCATGCATTCAAGTCACTGTTCGCTTTGCTGCGGAGGGTGTCGAAATTGGGAATTTGCACCAACACAAATCGGTGGCGTTCCTCTAGGCTCCCTTTTCAAACCAGCCCAAATAAGGTGCCGACTCCACACAACACACACACACATATTATGGGTGTGTGTTAAAATAGGGAACCCCCCAAACTGCTCGTTTTCCTTTCGGCTTCCCTTTAAAACCACCGTTTAAAAGGGTACCATCAACAAGACACGAGTCACCCATATGGGCCGCAAAGTGTCGCTGGGCCTGACGCCTTGCCATGCGCCGCCTGGCACTTGCGAGCCTGGCTGCTGCGCCGCTGCTGAAACGTGTCTCGGAAAGACATTTTGGCGATTGGTTCAGTGGCAGCCGTCTTTTTTGTTTGGGTTCCCCCGCCAAAAAGAATTGGGGGTTGATCAAAAGGCCCTTTTACGTGGGATGACCACTAGGGAAACCACCAAAAAGATGACTTTCACCACGAAGCGGGGAAGTTACCCATGGTCATTCTGGGACCCGGAATATTGGTCAACCCCCAGTCAGGTTCTTTGGCCTCTTGCAACTGGGAGGAGGGGACGAGGGAACACCCGAAAACGGCCGTTTTGCGCTTTGGCTTCCCTTTGGGACCCAAAAGCGCATCCTCAAAAGGAACACACCCAAACCAAACGAACCACGGCCAAAAGACTGTTGGCAAGGGTGACTTGCGGCGGCTTTCTTGTTTGACGGGTAGCATATAATATGTTTGTTGATGCTTGCCAATATGTCCACAATGATACCATACGTAAATGTCCAAAAGTTCGTTTGGTGACCTGCACTCCAATGGTTTGGATGCGCCTGTTGCGGATCCATATCGGCATATCACAGGCGTAAAAAAGGATACACACAGAGGGACCTCGGAATCCGCGAAAATGGTCGGCCAGGCCGCCGCCCGGCGGCCTGTCAGACACCGCTGACAGAAGTGGAGGACGCTTCGGCACCGTTGGGGGGGGTGGGGGTCGGGTGGAACGCCAATGCACGCCCACGGTGACATGCGTCTCCAGTTGGTGTCATTTGCCTGGGAGAAGTATGCGTTTCCTATGCAGTTCCCGGGTGGGTCTGGTAGGTGCGGTGGAACATCAGGCTTCAATGACATGCCAGTGGGTAGGTTTGTTTAAAGACGGATGGTTCAAACATGCTCAAAGTTGGCAGAACCCTGAAGTAACACTGCCGCATTGCCGCTGGTTGATTCGAGGCGGACGGAAGACTGCCATAGTCAGCCGGATGCATCTAAGGGAGAAACTTGTGGTTGGTTGCTCAATGTCCTCATGTTTGGCTACCCTGGGTTAATCTGTCCATCACTGTCATTCCCTTCTCTGCATTAGTTGTGAACCTTGGCTGGCGGTCGCTCCCATGCACTTCACAGTTTTTCTTTGGGGTCATTTGGTGAGTGGGGCTCCGATGAAAGAGAGCATCGACTGTTGCCATTTTCCACCTGGTGGATGCCAACTCAATAGTCAAGTAGGGAACAAGTGGGAGACCCTGTAAATTTAACCATGCATGGTTTCTGGTTCGTTTACTTGCGACCTATTTTCCATGGGCAAGGCTCATCGAAGCTGGGTGCTGCAAGTGGATCCTTCCACGTCATGGTTTTCCTACCAAGGGGGGGGTTCGTTTCAGAACCGTAAAGCAACGGATGCGTCATGTCCGAACCCCCCCCCCACCACGGGGCCCCACGGCCCGCAGTTTGCATCTGTTTGCCACTGCAGAAGGTTCAGTCAAGGAGTCCAGCGGTCTATGGTATATGGGAGATGGTTGAATTCCAGAAACGCCTGGGCTGCGCCCCAAGTCGTGTGAGTTTGGTTGGACTTCGTTGAGCGTGGCTCAATGAGCAAATGTGAAGTGTCCAATCAACATGTTGATAGCGTGGGCGCAAATGGAAGGTGTCTCTTTTCAGACTCCAACGCCTCAATAACGTCAGGTGTCTATCAACCCCCTTGTTCATGAAAACATGTTTCGTGGCTTGTACTCGTGCTCCGAATACGGTATTCGAAAAGGTGTTCTGAAGTAGACTACTTTCCAACGGTAAACATGTTCTTCCATTTCAGCCATGAATGTCATGCTGGTCCGCCAAGGTGACTTCCACAAAACTACTGTCCAAATGTATATTTACAGGAGACAACCCCAAAACCTAGTTTGAGGGCCCTTGGGTTTGACGTGTACAAATTAGGCTGGGGACGACCCAGGGTCAACGTCAGGCGCGTCGAGTCCTGCAACTCTTCGATGGCCTGCTCTTCGACGAGGAGAAGGGAGCGTAAGGCTTACGGAGTTTTTCATCCCATGACCCCAAAGGCCTCTTAGACCTTTCCATGCCTACAAAACATTGGTGCATTTTGCTTGGATGTTAGGACTTTATCTTTGTGGGGAGCAGAAAGCAACCGAGAAAAGTTGGTCGACCTTGTGCTCAACGGGCCTATAAATCCCCCCACCGCGGGCCATGCACTCAGTTCTGGAGTTCTATGGGCTTTGCACGTGGGAAATGATAAGCTCCAAGCTGGACCTTTCAACAAAGATTTTTCACTTAATGAGTCCCGTACCCTTTGGTGGACATCAGTTAGCTAGGGAGTTATGTCTACCAACCACTTTTGAGAGGGTTCCCCAATAATTCTCACCAGCAGGCATCAGGTTCACTTGTCCTGGCCTGTCCAAAATCAAGCTTTCAAGCTTGCGAAGTGTCCCTTCATGGATTTACATTCCAAGAGAGAGCGCAGCATTTTGAGACACTCCCATTTCAGGGTTTCTTAACGGATGCATCCACCAGCCGCTTACTTTGGTTTCTAAACTGGCCCAACATTGATCTTTCGACAAAAGGACAGTCTCAAAAAGTTGCTTGCAACTTGATTGATCAAGATTTGCAGAAGCAACCACTCCCTAGTCTCCTTTAAAGGAAACCCTGGACCCCTATGTTATTTCCTGAGGAGTATGGGGATATCCACCTCTACGACATCTCGGTGGAGGAGGAGCAGCAGGTGGAGGCTTGACAGTTCCCAATGCGACTTCGGGAGCGGGGGCCCCACATGGCTTCGGTGTTCCTGTTGGCTTCCCTTTAAACTCACCCAGCCATTTCACACACTTTACACGTCTTTCCTTGGTGGCTCTCCCATCTACTGGTGGCCCAAAAAGTGTACACTTCTTTTCTTTTTTCGGCTGGTCACTGGCTAAGTGAGTAAAGCAACCTGAAAAGACTTAGCCTCCCCCCCCCAAAAAAAAGGCCGGGATGACACATGATGTGTCATTTCCGCAAAAGGAAATATAATTTGCCCCCAGATCGAGCGAACTGGCGAGAAAGCCTCGGGTGCAAGGGTTCTAAGCCCTTTATGTAAATTCACTTGCAACCAAAGCGACGACCGGATCTGACCTTCTCGGTTCCCCTTCTTGGTCCATGTTTTAAGTGGCCCCAAACAATGAACCTGTTAAACCTTTCTGTATTTGCCCTGTGGGCAACTGAGAAACCAGTCGAACCCTCCTGCTAGAACCAACAGTCGAGTGCTGACTTGGGAACGTGGCTATAAGTGTAGCCATAGTCTGCCCTTTGTTTTGAGTACAGGTACGATGGATCTTTTTTAGTTGAAGCAAGTCCTAAACTAGTTACCCACCTATGTCAGATGAGCCATGGTTCAATCACATTATACTTGAGGTTGCTGGGGACTGTTATCAACCCCGCAATAGAATTTCAGGCAACTGGTGAGGATTCCTATTAACCTGTTCCCTGTAAGGAGTCTTGACCACGGCAGATATCAACGGACGGGACAACATATGCTAAAGGCAAAAGGGTGAATCGATGCCTTTTGGGTTGGTTTTAACTGGGTAAAAACGACACAAAGAAGCTTCCTCAGCCGCAAACCGAAACTCGAATCGTGAAGTGTTTCTCTTCCACATTCATGGACTGCTTCTCACTTCCCGAGTTTCTGGACCTTAAGCTTTTTGGTAAGACCATTTTGGCAAACGAGCGCCATCAAATCAGGAAGTGCGGCTTTCTCCTAAGAAATGGACGAAAGTCCGCAGGAGCCATCGGCGCTTCGCGCCCTTCGTCCCCCCACTGCTTCCTTCGTCGCTTCGTCGCTTCGTCGCTTCGTCGCTTCGTCGCTTCGTCGCTTCGTCGCTTCGGGGAGCGCCGTGAGGGTAGTGGTGGGGACGCCACCTACGGAGAGCTCCGGGAGGAGATCTTGGAGTGGCTCCTGGCGCACTGCGAGATGCGCCCACAGGCGGGCGGCTGGCGGCCGCGGTTTTGCATCCCAAAAGCGCCGTTTGTTTGGTGCAAAGGGAAAACAACCAATTTGCGGGTCCCCTAAAAAGAGAGTGATGTTTCAAGCAAAACGCAAAACAAGATTGGTCATCCGAGGGGGCGTGACTATACCCAAAATGCCACTACGTAGATGCATGTGGCTCTGTATATGTTTGTGGACATGTGGGTGTTTTTTTGAAGGGAGCCCATTTTGGGGCTGTTTCAAGGTTGAAGCCAACCGGAAACCACCCACTGTTTTCTTTTTGTTGACCCAACAATCATAAACGTATGCCGGGACAACAAGCCTTTGTCACGGTATGTGTTGTGTTGAAGTGCCTGGAGTGGTCGTACTAGGACACAACTCCAATCTGGTTTGGGCCTGGTGACATTTCGCTGCCCTTGAAGAGGCCCCCCCATTTTTTGTTTCACCAGTTTCGGGGCTGATTTCTGTCTTGGTTTGCCTGGCCTGCGGGTCGGAACGTTGCCCGCCCTTGGTTGGTGAGGCTCAAGCTCTAAAGGTGGTGTGATGCTTAAATGGTACATGTAGGAAATTTGAGCATGGGAAATTGTTGCAAGTCGAAAGCTTCCCGCACTGACCCCCTAGACCACACCCCAAAAATAAATGTGACAGGTAAGCCTTGTTTAGTGCTTGCCCGTGCTTGTTCTTAAGGGCGGTATGTTCCAGGGCTTTGTCAAGAGATGCCTCACTCCCAGATTCTCCCCTGGCCCAACACCCGGAGAGGCATAACCCCAACCATGGTCAATATGGCCGTGGGTCAAAACCAAAGGTACCATTTTGGGGTAGGTGCACCACCCATGTTGGTCTTTTTTAGTGGGGATTGCAGGGTACAGGGTTTTGACTCATGGCCAATACGCCCCATCCTGAGGATATCTTGTGCGACCTCGGCAGCGGCAGCGGGCGAGCGTTGCGCCCCGGCGAAAGACCCAAATCGGCAGAACGTGTGGGGTATGTGTCAAAAAATGGACTTGGGGCCCTAGAATTGGTTGTTGTCCTTTTCTTGGTGGCTGCTAGCCATCCCCTTAGCTTTTTAGCCTTTTAGTGTTTAGAGGTAGTTTCCATTTAACCCACCAAAAGTTAATCTCTTAGCGGGGGAGCTGAGGGCAGCCCAGTTTTTGTTTCCCTTTAAGCTGAGCTGAAGAGGGTTCCCCAAGACACGCACACACACACACACACACACACACACACACACACACACACACACACACACACACACACACACACACACACACACACACACACACACACGCACACAGGGCCCATTGACTTGTTTGCCAGTTTGCCAGAATTCTTCGGCACCCTGAGGGAAGGAAACGTCACATTCTGCAGTGCCAATCTGGGTTTGCTTGCTCCATCTCATTTGTGATTTGAGTGACACAGAATGCGCGTTTCTTTCAAAGGCGGTGAATTGGCTAGATCATCTACACTCCAGCCTAGAGGCACTCAGTGTTGTGTGCCTGGCTGGCTGAGGTGCATGAGTCCCAAGCTCAAATAACTCGCAGTTGATTAGTAACTCGCAGTTCAATGTTAGTGAGAACTCGCAGTTGCCTACCTCTGCCATCTTGTGCAACATGGTTGGGTCGCTGCCCCCGCACCTAAGCATGGTTGTTGTTGGGGCACATTTTACATTTGTGCTTATTGTGGTTTTGTGGTTGAAATCCAAATCCACTTAACAGCTACGTTAAACAAATGCTCCCCTTAACCCAGAACTACAATAACACGGTTATCCAACGTATTTTCCTGAAACTAGAAATTCTCCACTATACTAGTTAACCCCCATTTTTCACCCCTTTCAGCCCCTCGGGCGTCAGCGTTTCAGGTTGTACCTGGCGCTCCGCACGGGCTTGCCGGCGGTGGGAGTCGCCGCTTGTGCGGAGTGTCTGAGTCGCCAAAGTGTTCTGCTGGGGGTCGATAGCTTCACTTTGCTTAAGAATACTTTTGCGCATTTTGCTTGGATGTCAGGACGTTAACTTTTGCCAACTAATGGGTCTTCCATTAAACCAACAAAAGCCAAGAGCCAAACTTTTAGCAGGGGAGCAGAAAGCAACCGAGAATGTTTGTGAGTTTCCCCTGTGGGTTTATAGGGAATCTATGACTGCTGGGAATAAATGGAAGGTGGGAGTCCTTGGGTTTAGTAAACTGAGTCGACCTTTGGATCTGACCTTATTGGTTTTTCCAATTTTGGCCCCAAATGGTGATCACCTTGTATTGCTGGGTCCAAACTTGGTTTCTCCCGCAAGCCTCAACGATCATTCATGGTGCACAAACGGCTGGGGCAAAGAAGTGATTCAGAACCGGAGGATTCTTTTTCTTGGCAGAAGGTTGCTTCATTCAGGTTTCGGAATCAGTGACAGGGATTGGGAAACCGCAAGAAACCAGCCATTGTGGGCTGGAATCCTTGCGATTCCGTGGGGACGCACGACATTGTGATGACTTCTGGATCTTGCAATTCCATGCGGGCAGCATGATTGGGATGGAGTGGGGGGACTTTTGCGGTTCCCTGTAACGCTCCGCAATGAACCCCCCCCCTCCAGCCCTCAATCTTGCCATCCCAAACCCCAACCCCAATCCCCTACTGAATATGGAGTGTCAGGCGGGTGAACTTCTTGAATGCACCTAGACACGTGTTTTTCCAAAGGGTCTTTTGGTATTTGAGCAGGATGTACTTTGACCCCTTTTTACATACAAAAAGGACAGAATCAACCAAACAACGGCAAAGTTCACAATGAATTGAGAGACCGGTCAGGTTCCATGGCCCATTCAAGCGCGACGATGTGCAGTGCGTCACCCGCCGTTGGAACGAAACGCCTGAGGAGTTGTCGCCCACGCGGCATCGCTGCGCGGAGACATTGAAGATGCTGGCGCAGCCTTTCCTCTGCGGAGAGGCGACGTGGCGTTCAAAGGGTCGTTAAGTGTCTGCCTTTTTTATGGCGAGCTCACCGCTTTGGGGCTACAAAGAGCTTCCTATATGCAGGGACTGACAGATATGTTCCTTTTTGAGCGGCTCACCTGTTGGTTACCAATTTAAGCTTTGTTAAAGGGATTTTATCAGGAATCCTATCAACTGAGAAATGGCGATCCCGGTAAACATGGAAGCACCCCTCAAAAGAGGTAGGGTACACAGTCACTGGGCAACTTGGAAGGGGCGTGCGTGCAACCCTACCAAATGTTGAATATCCTCAAAGATTTTGCCTCAGACAAGCGTTCAACAAGGTCAAGAGCACCACACAGACGCACCGTATGCCAGGGAACATATCAGATCCCCAAAAGGGTTTGCTTGGGATATTTGGGAGATTGGTGTTTTAAAACGTACTTGTACTTGTAATTGTGCTTCCGCTTTGTTGCTCAATATAGTGGCGTTCGCCAACTGTTGATATCCATCGCTGTTTTGGTTGCCGCTTGAAAAGATGGTTTTCGTTGGCTGATTGCTGTGTCTCTATTCCAAAAGAGACATAGAAGGAACGCTGTTCCCATCCCAGGCCCGAAAGTGTTCCGTGCCCCAGAGCCACAGGTGTTGAGGAGACACCCACGTGATCAATGCCGAAAACTTGCACTAGAGTTGTCAAAGGGAAAACAAAAAACAGCTGTTCATTTGAGGTGACACCCCATTAGCAATGGAAAATCAATGTCAAGTGGTTGTCAAAGGGAGACAAAAGGAAACTGTGGATTCGAGGAGGCATGGGGATTGCCCCTGGGCATTTTTTGAGGATCCCCCTTTTCTGGCGGCTTTGAAGGGACACCAAAAGGAACACAGAAGCCATCTTGGGGGGTCCCCTATTTTGTACGAATCCACTTGAAGGAAGCCCAAAGCAACTTGCCATCTCTTGCAGCGCGGCGACTAGGTGACCTTCGTCCAAGGCGATCTCTCTGAGACAGGCCCACAGAGGCACGTCTTGGCCTCGCTGTTGCTTGGGGGCAGAGTTCCCGGCATTTCCACTTTGGGTGGTTTTAAACATCTTGGTGTCGACCATTTGTGGGATCAATTTAAAGTTAGTTATGCCTGTGGGGGGGGGAGATGTTTGAAGAGGAAATACAAGAGACCCTGAGGAACTTGGTCAGTTCGGCCAAGCTGATGAGACTTTGCGGACTCGTTGGCATGTCGACAATTACCAAAGGGGCCCCAAAAATTGCGCTTGGCACATGTCGAGCTCACAAGCAAGTGAGCATACACTAGGTACTTAAAATTGTTTGTTTGCTTGTAGGTTTGCTTGAAACGAGTTCTTACAAGCAAGCGCGCCCACTTGGCTTATTTGGATGGCTTTCAGGCGAGCAAATGATCCGGAAACAGACCATTTGTCGACATGAGCAAGTGAAGAACGATTTCCACAAATTAGCCGATGAAGGACTGCCCGGCTTTGAATGAGTTCTTCAACCCAGCGGCTAAGTATTGCAGGTGAAGGATCTCCCATTGCGTCCAGGCCATTGGCTTTCCGCGCGGCGTTTTTTGTTTGACCTGGTTTTCGGGGTGTATCATGTTTGGATGATTTCAAATGAAAACCAAAGAGAAACCGTGGCCATTTTTTGGGTTTCCCTATTCTGAGAGACACCCATTGCCCATATGATCCCTTTATTTGGCCACATTTGCCCTACCGTCCCCCAAAAGATTCCCTTTCGGCGTACTCCGCCCCTTTCTGCAGGATTCGTTTGGGAGTGAGTCGTGTGTGGAAGTCCTGCGGTAGGATATGACCCCATTTCTCATTCCTGGGCTGGGCCGATGCTTTAGTCACCTGTCAAAGCGGACTGCTTGGTTTGCAATTCTTGTTCGTCTCTGCAGGTTGCGAACTGCCGGCTTCGGCTTGCTAGCATAGTTGCTCCTTGGCAAGCTGATCATTGGATTCGGGCTTGGAGTTCACGTCCATGCGCAGGCATGCAACGGTGGTTCTCTTTGCCAACAAGTGTCCTGGCATCGGGAAGAGATCGCATATGTGACGCCAGCCCGGAACTTGAAACCGCAACCACCCGCCTACAGGACTTATTTCAGGACTTGATGTGTGTATAGTGTTTTTCCGTTTCGCGTGGGTGGCTGTTGGGCTGAGCTTCTGCGGCTGTTCATATTTTTTTGTTTTTTTTGCGGCTTTTGGTGGCTTTTCTGGCTTTGTCTTTCCGCATCCTCAGCATCACCAGCAACACCAATCCTAAAATCACCCCAAGACCAATCCTAAACCCACCCACTACCAACACCCAACCAACCCTAACATTGAAACAAACACCGCAAACAACACCTAAGCAAACCCTATACTAGCTGGACACCCATCCTCAGCCTACATAAACCAACCAAACTGAAAACTAATCCCTAAACCATCCGAAACCTACCCAACGCCAAACCATAGCCTAAACTCTCATGCCACCCCCAAACCAACCCAAAACAAACCCTAAGCAAACGTATAACAACACAACCCTCTCCCCAAACCCAACCTATCCTACCCCTGTTGCCTAGTCCAACTTGAAACCAACCTAAAGAGCCACGGGTGTAAAACATGATGTTGGGGATGTTAACGGTAAAATTCGTGCATTTGATGATAAAACACTGTAACATCCAGCGGTTGAATGATCAAAGCCAAAAACAACAAATCCTGAAACACAAAAGAACAAGTCCCGAATTAAGTCTCGACCCCCCTTGTGAAAGCCATGCCCAATGCACTCCTGAGGAAACTTGGATTAATCTGGATCACCATACCAATCCGAGGAATGAAAACCGGGGCTAAGAGGGGAGCCCTTGAGAAAAATGGTCCCCCGGCTTCGGGCTCGTGCTCACCATGCTCTGGACGGACAAAATCCTGCATCACTTCGAAACCATTGGAAACCATTCTTTGTTGGTATTTACAGGAGAATCATCATTTTAGGATTTCTTAGGCGGTGCAGGATTTCGTCCACCCACAGTAGGTGTCTGGAAGTGCGGCCGGAGCAGCCCCGATCACGGCACCTGTCCAAAGTTCATGCATTTTGCAATTGTGCAGCCAGTTTGGGGCAGGCGGGGGGTGAAGATGTACCTGCGACCGTAAAATGTATTTAAAGAATAAAAGGTAGATCAGTGCAAAGCCTTACTCCCCACGCAGGTCAACGTGGAACCGAAAAAGGGTGTCCGCCAAGAGCTACAAGTGGTGACATCTTTTGGCATCGTTAATTTGCGAGGAGAGTAAGGAGGGTGTTGCCCAGGGTGACGGACGCTGAGGCTGTTCTCTGAGGACATCTTCCGTGCCGTCGCGCGGTAGCCGTGCCGAAACGAGGCACGTGGATTTGCGTTTGGTGACCAACTCACTTTGCTGGACAGATTGTTTTAGTCTTGACTGCTATTGGGTTGGATCTTTAGACTTTAACTTTTTGGAAATCAAGGGGTTTTCTACTAAACCCACAAAAAGTTAAACTGTTTGCAGAGGGGTCAACAGCAACCAAGTAGTGGCGAAGACAAAGTTCGGACTTGTTTTACCAATCGACCCAGGAAGTGAGTTTAAGGTTGCCACTTTCTGCAATTCCAATGGAATCAATCTCCAAGGCGCCAATGAGCACTGGGCTATGGGGATGGCCTGCATTGGTATCACCGAAAGGTTTTACGTTGTGACTCAGTCAAAGGTGTCCTTTTTAGGTTGCGTTAGCTGACACACAAGTTCGGTTCTATCCACAAGATCAGCGCACCGACGTCAACACTGACCATAGGCCCTGGTATAAACCTCTGGTGAATGGGTTAAATATCCATGAGTCATGGCTCGAATCTATAAGTGAATCCAGCAAGCCCTGACAGAGAAGCCATTTACCCTTCCATGGCCTTTTACTAAACCTCTCACGAGATGGCTCCATATCAGGGGGAAAAAGAAAAGAAACAGAAGGCACATTCCAAGGATTTTGAGAGAGCAGCCTTTCCCCGGGTTCTAAGGGTTGATTCCTCTTCCATTCTTTTCAGCCATGGTTCTTTTCCAAAACCGGATCCATTTCCCCAGGGATTTGGGTGGTTCTCTGGAAAGAAGCATCCCTGGAAAGAATGGACATGGAAGTTACCCCTAGAGTCCATTGCACCCCGGCTAGCTCCCTTGGAAGGTGGCCCTCCAAAAGGGCCTTGAGGGCTTTGGAGTGGGTTCTGTGGTGAAGTTGGGAACCCCGCCAATCCGACGCATCCTTTCGCAGGACTTCAGCTCCCGCGCCCTGCGGCTTCTGCCGCGGCGCCGCGCGCTGCTGTGCCTCCGGGCCGACGGCGCGGCGGACGCGGAGCTCGCGCAGCGGGCGGCGCTGGGGACCACCTGGAGATGCACCGGGAGGGGGGTGCCATGGACTCGAGGCCGTTTGCCCCCAAACCAAGTCCCCGAAAACATAAGGCATTGCTATTTGTTCACAAGGGTATTGGAGTTGTATGTTAAAGAGGTTGCGAAATGGACTCTAGGTGTTGACCATAGGGAGGGAGGGCCGGACCGGACTTGGCGTTGGGCAAAAAAGGGTGAGGGCAAAACGAGCATTCAGGCCCACGATGAAGTCAACTTTGGTTGAGCATTGAGCTAACCTTCACTAGATTCTCAGTAGATCGCTTGCTTTGTGGTGGGAAACCCTCGCGCCACCCAAAAAAGCAGATGGAATCACTCGTGTATTTACTGCGCACGGCATCCACTCCACCCGCCTGTCTGCGGAGGAGTCGCAAGCAGCCAGCGCACGGCTCAGCTCGAGAGTTCGCAACGCAGTCCGCGGTGGCAAATGAAGACTAGGTCCCCCAGCCAGGTGCCCTTTCTCACCGTTTCGTTTTTGGGGGAGGGTGTCTCTACTAAAATAGACGACAGAAGAAGGGTAGCCTTGTTCTAACCTCTCTAGTCGACCTAGGAAGACTAGGTTACGGTTTTCTCCGATGCCAAGAGAGATTGGTGGGGTTTTGGGCTGCCAGTCATTCTCCCAACGCCAAATAAGGTTTAGGCTGCCATTTCCACGGTCGTCAAGAGAGATCTGTTTTTTAGGTTGCCATTTTCCCTGAAGCCAAGAGAGATTTGTGGGGTGTTAGGCGTTTTGTTGATGCTCAGAGAGATTTGTTTGGTTTCAGGTTGCCATTCTCCCTGATCCCAAGAGAGATTTGTGAGCTTTGCTTGAACTGTTCCTTGACACGAGAGATTGGCAGGGCTCTAGGACACCAAGCGAGAGAAAGAGAGAGATAGAGATTTGTGCTGTGGGGCATTGAGTCTCGGCTGCAACCTAGTCGTGCCGAGTGTCAGAGTTCCAGAACTCAGCCATTGAGGTGTGGCTCTACACGCGAGCGCCCGTGGAATAGCGGGAAAAACGTGGCGCGAGCATGCGACATCGTGAGGTCTGGTCCCGGATCTCTTCTGAGTTACGTTCTGTTTTGAGGTTCGCGCAAGCAACATGGGCCAGAAACACGTTTGTTTGTTTCTATCTGTGGTTGGGGTCCAAAACAGAGGTAGTGTCAGAACCCCTAGTACCTACAGGTTTGTGGAGTTCATTGTAAATAGCGGTAGGGTCTTGCTTTAGTTTCATTGGCAGAGTGATGTTCAAGAGGCAACTTGCAGAATTCTGTCCATGGTAGGGCGGGCGGTTTTTTAAGAAATGTCATGAGGGGCAATTTTGCTCATGGAGAGGCATGCTGCTTGTCTCTGCCCTGAAGCGTGAGTTGTGTAGCGATATTCGTATGCCTCGCTTTTGACGGTAGCCTCTTTTGAGTTGCTTTACTGAGACGCCAAAGGAAAGCCGTCCCATTTTTGCGGATTCACATGAGGACCGTTTGTTTGCTTGTTGGGAACCTAGGTGTTGTGTTTTGGTGATTCAATTCCGACCAAGCGCAGCGCTTTGTTGTACATTTTTTTCAGGAGTGTGCTTCATACGCTCTGTTCCTGCCATTTGCTTCCCTCGTTCGCCTTGGTTCGCCTTGTTTCCTTTTTATTATCTTGGTTCGCTTGGTTTTCCTTGGTTCCTCTTTGTTTGCCCTTGGTTGAACCATTGACTTGTCACTTTCCCTTGCTGGGTTTTAAAGGAAATCATCACTGCTGGACATATTTTCCATTTTTTCCTGGGGCCTTAACCAAATGGAAGCGACCATGTTAATCAGTTCCGCTTGTGAATAAAGCTCTCCCTAATAATACATATTTGTTTGCTGGCAGATTCTTTTTTTTTTGGGGGGGGAAGGGGGAGGATTACGCCGTTTGGGGCAGCTGAGGCCGTGGGCGAGCTGCTGCACATGATGCGTGCTGGTCACCGTAAGGCAGTCGATCCACCCCAGGCGGGTCAGATTTCAAAGCCAAAGGGAAGCAGCTAAAAGGAACCCCAAGAAAGGGAAGGGAAGGGGAAGGGAAGGGGCAGCTTTGGATTGGTTTGGATTTTGAAGGTGTTACACATTGCGGAAAATGGATAAATGTATCCACTGAGAAGCTGCAGATAGGCTTTGGTGCATGTTGCCAAGGGATGTTGGGACTGAATAATTTTTTGCGCCAACTCATGGGGGTTTCCGTATTAAACCACTAACAGTTAATTGTTTAGCAGGGGAGCAGAAAGCAACCAAGTAAAAGAAACCCCCCGAAAGGAGGTTTAACCCGGATTGGGTGTTCCCTCCCACAAACGCTATGCTTGTGGAAGGAAGTAGCATAGACCCAACGAACCATTTGTAGAGAGGAACGTCCTGTCCGGGGGCCTCCTTTTATGCTGGTGAATTTGCCTGAGTAATTCTGGCGAGCTCATACATCAAAAGTGCTCACATGTGCTCACCCATGAAGTTATCTCACTGCTGAAGTTCCTGGTTGGTACAACCAACATAGGACGTTTCCCCACGTTCACTTGTACCCCGCCCACGAAGTCCACCAGAGTTGCCAACCGCGGATCGAAAACTGAAAAGACTCTGTTGCACCATTCTCGCTGTTCCCTAATCCTGCCGCAAACCCAAGTGCGCGTCAGCTTCCAAGTGCCAGTGCCATGGCGAAGCCTCAAAATGACTGGCTGTTCCCTTGGGATTCCCTCGAGCGACCACAAACAGGGTGCCCCAAAACCAAGGTACACCTATGTAAGGGGTGCTCCAGTTCCATTTGGGAGCTCAGTTGCCCTCAACAAAATTGCATTTCGACACCCGACAGCCACTGTTTTTTCCCGGATTGCACAGCTCCAGGGATGTTTTTGAGGTGTTGGACACAAAGAAGCAGCTCTGGTAGACACATCATGATGGGCCGCATTTCGGTCTCCAGCCCTCATGTGAATGGGCCGTAAGTGGAATCAAGGGGACCTTCGGTTTGGACCCCCACACAAGCCACTCAAAGAAACACACAGGCTGTCAGGTGTGAATTTTAGATGTGTCCCGACCCGAAATGGGGGACAATCTTCGGGATTCATGTCCACCAACTTTTGACGGATTTAGCTCTGAACATTCACAGCCACGCCTTTTTGGGGAAGTATGAGATAGGCCAAACACGGTATGTTGGGACGGGATGCGGTAGCAAATCTCTGAGCTGTTTGCTTGATCCTTCGCAGGATCGCCGGGACCTGTACACCATGGACTTCTTCCCAGACAGCCAAACACCCAGCCTCGAGCCTTGTTTGGTGTCGAGCAGCAAAAAGCGACAAAGACGATCCGGTAAGTCAGATAAGTTGGTTTAAGCATGCTGCATCATGCTTATAAATCTACGTTCAGGCCACAAGCGCGTTTCACAAGAAGCTACAGCCTCAAGGGACTTACCGTGGCAAGTGGGTTGCAACCAACGTGGCTAGCCACTTGCTGAGTACCCTGTGCCCTTGCCCGGGGATGCCTCGAGCGAGACTTGAATCGAAGGAACCCGAGAGGCCAATACTTGGAGATTTGGCGATGCCAGTTTCTCCAGCTTGGTGGCTGTGGGGTTCGTGGACCTTCGGTACTTCGGCTTTAACCTTGTCCACAGAAGCAGGGTGTAGTGAATGTGTCCAAGAAAAAGCTAAGCTGCTGTTAGGCGTGCCCGAAAAACATCGTGGAAGCTGGTCAAAAATCGATGCCTGGACCCTCAGGCTACCCGCAAAAATGGGATATTGCCCCAAACTGTGGGGTGAATTCCCTTTTTAATAGTACGTCGAGGGTCCAGAAAGTCAGACAAGGTTCGGGTCGCGTAGAATCGCCGGTTGTTGCCCAGGCCCGGGGGGATTTGCCACATTTCACTTGTTGAAAGCCGGGTTTTTCTCCGCTGGGTCTGTGTTCTTGTTGACTGCGCTCAGTTCATCTTGTTGTTGTTTTTTGATGTGTGTGTGTGTGTTTGTGTGTGTGTGTGTGTGTGTGTGT